TATAGAGGTATACTGGGAGACCACAGAGGTGGCTATACTGCATAGGCTATGATAAGGGTATTGCATGTGTCTGCTCTAATAAAACAAACCAGAATGGGGATGGTGGACTCCGAGTGACAAACTGGATTTCACTCTTTTCCCAACAAAACATTATAGAAAACTATGCAATTTCAATCATCTGTACTATCCAAGGATTTCTTTCTATTGAAGTTGATGATAACGTCTAATGAACTAAACTAGTCTAGAGTCAGTTCTGGAAATTGGAGTGGGGCATTACACAGTTAGTAGTCTTTTTTTTTTTTTTTTTAATTGGGTTTCCCTGTGTAGCCCGGGTTAGCTTTGAACTCTGTGTAGTCCAGGCTGGCCTCTAACTCTCTGCAATCCTCCTGTCTCAGCCTCCCAAGTGCTGAGATTACAGGCATGCACCGCCTCACCCAATTTACACACTTGAGTATAAAAACATAAGCAGGAAACTCCACAAATGGTAGCAGAGAGGAGTATAAGCTATTGGTTCACAATCATTTGCAATACCAACAGGAAGTTTGGTATCTTCTGGTTTCACTGTTCATGTCTGGTGGACCAAAAAACAGAAACACACCAGGCCCCCTGATTGGCAGACCAGTGCCTCTTTCCAGGCTTGGTTTGCACAGGCAATCTGACATTCCCTGTGGCCGGTTGTAGGATGGTGTTTCACAAGTCAGCTCACCTTGACGCAGAGCAGCAGTGAGAAGTGTGCAGATTTAGAGAACCTGAACTGGTCACTGCTGAAGAGCAACAAACCAAGAGGAAAGCAGGAGAAAGGTGGCGCCATCTCCTGTTTGTACCAGAAATGGCAAGAAGGAAAGAGGGCAACCCAGAAGTCAGGGTTTAAAGTCAGTGCCCTAGTATTCTCTTTGTGGGTAACAAGGTCTAAAGCCAGTGGCAAGCCCATGTAATGGTGGATCAGGTGAAAAATGGCTTGTACGACTAATCACCCACCTCCTCCAGGAAAGGCATTCATATACCTCCCCATCAGTCACGAAACTTGATGGAGAAAACCATATTCTTGGATCCTAAACTTTAAATCTACTTCAGTTATTATTATATATGAAGTTATACTCAACTATTTCAAAGAAAGAGACATTGTGGTATTACTGTTAATTACAGCTTGTCTTCTGGTGAAACTGTGTTGCTTACATTGTTCTGTTCTGATCTGCTTTGTTATGTCCTGTTTTGTCTTAATCTCTTTAAAATAATTTTTTAAAAAAAATTTACTTCATTTATATTCATCTTAACAGTACTAGAAATCCGAGATAAAGATGAAAGAAATTTAGCAGTACTAGAGATCAGATATAAAAATGAAGCGGAAAATACCTTAACATTCTCTCCCCGTCGGGGAATCGAACCCCGGTCTCCCGCGTGACAGGCGGGGATACTCACCACTATACTAACGAGGAACAGAACGAGCAGCATGCTCAAGTTGGTCCTTACAAAGGTCACTTTTGTGATATTTGCACCCCTTTGGTAGTTACTTTTTGTCAACTAATTCTTTTTATGTCTAGAACTGTGCATTATAGCAGAAACATAACGCAAAATTACATGTAATTTTTATTTTATTATATCCACGTTAAACGTAAAAAGACAGGAGGTTGAGGCAGGAGGATCGTTGCAAATTTGAGACCAGTCTGTTGTTATATAATGAGCTCAAGGCGATCCTGTCTCAAATAACAGACCAAAAAAAAAAAAAAAGAGTAAAAAGAAAGAGGTAATAATTATAATAGTAAGCTTTATTTAATGAATACTGTGTGTCCAAATTATTTTAACATAATCAATATAAAGACCATTAACTAGATATTTCGCACTTGCAAACTGTAGACTACAACTTCAGTTTGATGTACATTAAAAAAATGAGAAATGATGCATTTAGTTTTAATGGTTGTGGGTATGGTATGTATTTCTCACTTGCAGACTGCACACACACTTCATCAGTATTTAGACTTCACAAAATTTATAATTGAAAAATAGAATCATATCTTCGTTTTCTCTGAACATACTTTAGCGTTCTACCGTAACTGAACTGAGCATCTGTTCACAATCTCAAGTTATTTAATAATTTCACTTAGTGCATTTATTTCAATTGATTTGCAAATTAAATTTAAATTAGAAATGTATTATATTTAGACTCACCCGTAATTTCAAGTATTCAGTAGTCGTGACTACCTCCTGAACCTTACAGATAAAAGTACAAAAAATTGAGATTCAGACAAGAGATCCAGAACCAGGAAGATCCTAGAGAAGGGGAGGAAAGTAGAAACTTGAAAAGCTAAGCCTATGAAAACAAGGCTGGGCAGAGAAGGCGATCAGAAGCAAAACTTAAAAGTTTTTAAGTGGAAAGGTTACGATCTCAAGGGCAGACTCCAGATCTGGCTTTCCAAAAGCACACCAAGTAGGTGAAGGAGAAAGTAAGTTGCGCTGACCAGCAATCGAACCCGGGTTCTGCTGCTTCGTAAAGCAGCTGTGTTCACCACTATACCATCAACCCTTACAAGGGTTAGCGGTTTCGGAGTTATACCTAAAGAGATTACGTAATGAATTTACTGAAGGTTGTGAATTTACGATTTCAGTGCAGGATAAACTTCCGGCAGCTGGGAGCCCGAGAGCCAAAACTGAGGGGATAGATATTTTTAAAGGTGCCTATTTAGCTGCATGAGGGATATTTCCCTGCATGAGGGATATTTCCCTCGCCGCTAATCACACCTGCTTCCCTCACAGCCGAACGCTCCCAGGTCCCAGGTCCCAGGTCCCAGGTCCCAGGTCCCAGCTCCAAGCTCCCAGCTCCCAGCTCCCAGCTCCCAGCTCCCAGCTCCCAGCTTCGCGACGCCCCACTTGGATCCACTGGATGTCTAATTACGTAACGACGACTTAGGTTAGAGGATGACGGGCCAGTAGATCCATCAAAGCCTGGCACGGCCTCTCCATAGGAAAGGACTGTGTGGAGAAACGCTAGAGGAAATGGAGCTTCGAATTTTAAGGTAGTCAGGAAGTAGCAGATAGGAACCAACTATCGGTGGAACTTTTATTTTCCTTACTTTAAAAATAGGTTCCAAAAGGGCTTTCTAGTTGAAAAAATAAATAGATTGAGTACATAGCTGTGATTTTACGTCGTGCACCATCACGTCTCAATAAACTTAAAGAGCTACAAAAGAAGAATATGCCGGAGTGTCAGGATGGCCGAGCGGTCTAAGGCGCTGCGTTCAGGTCGCAGTCTCCCCTGGAGGCGTGGGTTCGAATCCCACTTCTGACAACAGTGATTTTTCTTTTTGTGCTTGCAAGCTAACTTTCAAGAGACTGTTGATGTACATGGAAATTGTTAAACACCACTAAAAATGCTTGGTTAAGGGCAGTATGCAATTGAAGCTAAGATCTTTCATTTTTTATTTTATGTACTTTTTTATCCGACAGTAATGTATTGAGCCTTTTCTGTGTCAAGCGTACTGAGACAGGCAGGTTGATCAGTCTTTGCACAAGGGAAAACCCTCGAAATCCACCTGCACCACCAAATCTAATCTTGTAGGTTTCCTGTTTCATACCAGGAAAAGAAATCAACAGACCAATTGGGGAAGTGATAGGGAAAATAAACTCAAGGAATTGGTTGCTTCTAGAGATTCATTTTTAGATCTCAGATCACTTACTGATTTGAGAGAAGATGGGCATGCAAAAAACCTTCTTGAGAAGTGGGCCCTGAAATCTAAATTTCTGAGACCTTTTGAATCTGCCTTTTGCAAGAAATCCAGATGATCTGTATGCATGCTAAAATTTCAGAACGGTCTACCTAGTAATCTAAGTGTCTGCACAGGTTGATCTTTAACCTGGAATTCCTTTCTCTTGCTTCTCACCAGGCTACCTTTTACTCAGTATCACTTAGGCATTTATCATTTTTTAAAACTTGAAAGTGGTGCTTATCATGAGTAGGAATTGGGGATGGGCCAAGAAAATATTTACAGCAAATTTGATATTTTAAGTGATAAATATTTTAGTTTAACTTGTTATCATTGTTTAGGGAGAGAAACTGGGTGACACAGTTATGATTACAATAAGCAACAAAGACCACAACATAAAGGTTGGGAAACAGGTACTCGAGATTGAATTCAAGGCCTTCATGTCGAGCTACCTGTCCAGACATTTAAAAAATTTTTTTAATTTTGAGACAGGGATGGTGGTGCATGCCTTGGGAAGTTGAACAGGAGGAGTATTGCTAAGAGTTTGAGGCCAGCCTGAACTATATAGTAAGACCTTGTCTCCAGGAAAAATAAATTACGGTATATATATACGGTATATACTATATATATATAGTTTTTTGACAAGGTCCTCCTAAATTGCTAAATTGCCCAGGATGGCTCAAGTTGTAATCCTCCTATCTCAGTAACCAGAATTCTGGGATTTACAGGTGTGCACCACAAGAAATTTCAGATGCCTATTATACAATAAATCTTAAAGAAACTAAACCAAAATTACCAACAACAATCATTGAAAAGTAAAGGTGATGAATTTAGATCTCCCTTAGAGAATTTAGATTTATTTGGATCTGCCTTAGAGAATTATATATTGCCAAGACCTATCCTCCTAACATATACTATTCCCAAAGTCCATTTGGGGGGTCTTGTCTCCAAAATAACAATGGTTAAAATGACATGCTTAGAAACAGCTAACAAGTATGTAAATTGTCTGTTACTAATATACAGTCTTATAAACTGATCTCCCCTTAGGAGTCTCATATGGAAAACTTCCCTAGCACTCTATTCTCTACTTTTCCAGCTCCCTCTATCTTCCTCCCTTTTCTTGCACTATAAAACATCTCCTATTGCCCCTCAAACACTGCAGTACTAAGTGTGTCTGCCTCAAATTTCCTTGTGTTAACCTATAAGAAACTTGTACATAACCTTGTGAAATTTCTTTATGTACCTCCTTCAGCTTCATGAGCCTCATCACATACTTTACTGACTGCAAGAGAAATCAGGAAGGAGTTTTTAAAAGTTTATTTAGATCTACAACTATATGTCACATAACAAAATCCATATGTACAAGAAATACAAAAGAACAAAGCAATGTTAAAGTGCCACACAAATGTTAATGACTTCTGTTTGTATGAAATGGGAGAACTTTGTTTTTAAAAAAGACAAATAACAGGGACTTTAGTTACACAACATACTGAGAAGAAAGCTCCTGGCTTTAGGGGGAAGATACTTTTCACCCCAGAGCCCTTAAAGTTACAAGATAAAATCACAGAAGACAGTCTTGAAGGCCTATAGGCCCAGGCCTTTACAGTAATAGCAGACTTATCACAAGAGATCATTTAATCGACCTCCTCAATGATAGGGTCAGTACTGCGCCTCCCCTGGCGGGCTTGAGCCCCACAGCTGCTGCCTCCAGGAACACTAGACCCTCCATACAGCCTAGAAAAGATGGGGCGGCACATTTGCTCCAGTTCCTTCTTCTGATGCTCATATTCCTCCTTCTCTGCCAACTGGTTGTGCTCCAGCCAGGCAAGAACTTCCTGACACTTGTCTTGCACTTTGCGCCTGTTCTCTTCAGGAATCTTGTCCCTAAGACTTTCCTCTTGCAAGCAGCCCATTACATGGAAGATATGTGCCTCCAGGGAGTTTTTGGCAGCCACCCTGTCCCTCTGGGCCTCATCCTCAGCCTTGTACTGCTGAGCTTCATGAACCATTCTCTCTACTTCCTCTTTGCTCAGCCGGCCCTTATCATTGGTGATGGTGATCTTGTTAGCCTTGCCCGTGCTCCTGTCAGTGGCTGTCACACTCAGGATACCATTGACATCAATATCAAAGGTCACCTCGATCTGAGGGACTCCACGTGGAGCAGGAGGGATGCCACTGAGCTCAAAACGCCCCAATAGGTTGTTGTCCTTGGTCATGGCCCTCTCGCCTTCATACACTTGGATCAAGACTCCAGGCTGGTTGTCAGAGTAGGTGGTGAAAGTTTGCATCTGCTTGGTTGGAATGGTGGCATTCCTCTGGATTAGCGTGGTCATCACCCCACCTGCTGTCTCCAGCCCCAGTGACAGGGGAGCCACATCCAGCAGCAGGAGGTCCTGTACTTTCTCACACTTGTCCCCCATCAACACTGCTGCCTGCACAGCAGCCCCATAGGCCACAGCCTCATCAGGATTGATGCTTTTGTTCAGCTCTTTGCCATTGAAGAAATCCTGCAGTAGTTTCTGCACCTTAGGGATGCGGGTGGAACCACCCACTAGGATGACATCATGGATTTGGGCCTTGCCCAGCTTGGCATCTTGCAGAGCCTTCTCCACAGGCTCCAAGGTACTTCGGAAGAGGTCCAAGCACAGCTCCTCAAAGCGGGCACGAGTGATGGACGTGTAGAAGTCTACACCTTCGAATAGGGAGTCAATCTCCAGAGTGGCCTGAGTGCTTGAGGACAAAGTGCGCTTGGCGCGCTCACAGGCTGTGCGCAGTCTGCGAAGAGCCCGCTTGTTGCCACTCACATCCTTCCCATGCTTCCGCCGAAACTCCTCCACAAAGTGGTTCACCAGCCGGTTGTCGAAGTCCTCTCCACCCAGGTGAGTGTCTCCAGCCGTGGCCTTCACCTCAAAGACACCACCGTCAATAGTGAGAACAGACACATCAAAAGTGCCTCCACCGAGGTCAAAAATGAGCACATTACGCTCTCCTGCCCCATGCCTGTCCAGCCCGTAAGCGATGGCGGCTGCAGTGGGCTCGTTGATGATCCTGAGCACGTTGAGCCCCGCGATAGCCCCTGCATCCTTGGTGGCCTGGCGCTGTGAGTCGTTGAAGTAGGCAGGTACTGTGATCACCGCGTTCCTCACAGGCTGGCCCAGGTACATCTCAGCAGTCTCCTTCATCTTGCTCAGCACCATGGATGAGATCTCTTCGGGGTTGAACGTCTTGTACTCCCCACGGTAAGACACGCGCATCTTGGGCTTGCCGCCTTCACTCACCACCTGGAAGGGCCAGTGCTTCATATCTGACTGCACGGTCACGTCTGAGAACTTGCGTCCTATCAGCCGCTTGGCGTCGAACACCGTGTTGTGCGGGTTCAGGGCCGCTTGACTCTTGGCAGCGTCGCCCACCAGTCGTTCGGTGTCGGTGAAGGCCACATAGCTGGGCGTAGTGCGGTTGCCCTGGTCGTTGGCAAGGATCTCCACCTTGCCGTGCTGGAACACGCCCACGCACGAGAACGTGGTGCCCAGATCGATGCCAATCGCCACTTCCCTTGGGATCGACATGGTTGTGGCTTCCTGTTCCTGGGATATGACTTCAGACGCAGAGACTCTGGAGGTCTGGGCTGCTCAGGCGCAGAGGGTCACTCAGCAGAGGCCGTGTGCACTCTTCCACTCTAACCCACAGGGAATCTGCTGGGCACGGCTGCAGCCCGCCTTTTATAGGGCTGCGGAGTCCCGCCCCCGGCCGCCAGGAACCTTCCGGAACCTTCTCCGTTCGCCGAGAACCTCGGCTCCGGGCCCGTCCCTCCCTTCCTGAGTCAGCGCCAGGCACTGCCGATTCAGAGCGAGTTCCCGCCGGCCGCCCTGGGGCGGGCGGGGCGCGGACGGCGGAGCCGGCCCTGGCGGCCTCTGACTCAGAGCCGCGGAATAGAACACCGAGAAAGTTCCAGCTTCTCCGGGCTGGTTCTCCGAGCTCGGTTGTGGCTGAGGCAGTAAAGGCAGTAAGCGCCGACAGACTCACCGCCACGGCTCAGAAAAGCAGGAAGAGACGTTACCGTGCGAGCAGAGCTGCTGTCTCAAAGCCAAGAGTTCACATCACTTTAGTATTCTTAGAGTCGCTTTAGTATTCTTAAAAAGTTTATTTTTGAGAAACAAAACTCTTCATTTTAAAATATAAGTGTATGGTTTTCAAACATTCAAAACAATAGTCCGGTTTGTCTACAGAAAGCGGCTGGAGATTGAAGTCAAGAGATGTGTCTGAAGCCTTTTAAACCTGCGGAGCATTGGTGGTTCAGTGGTAGAATTCTCGCCTGCCACGTGGGAGGCCCGGGTTCGATTCCCGGCCAATGCATACTGTATGTTTTCTTTTTTCCACTTGGCATTTTTCGTTCTGTTTTTATTCCAAGATTTCTAACACTTCAAAAAAATAAACAAGTGAGTCAAAGACTTTGGATTATTTTGATATAGTTGCGGCTCCTTTATTGGATTTCGTCAGAGAAGCTGGGATGTAGCGCTGGGCTGAGGGAATTCAGCTGCAAAAAGAACGCAACCTTCAGGTGAATGAGGTACACTGTCTCCAAAGAGTGCCTTATGCAGCTTTTCGAGGCCTGTGCAATTTCCTCTACGGTCTAGGAGTTTCTAATTCAGACTCAAAAGATTCAGGCGGAAAGTAAATTCCTACACCGTCAAGGAAGAGATTAGGTCTACCACACTAGTTTGTAACAGGACCGTGGCCTTACGAATTCTTTCACTTCGTTTTATCCAAAACACTCCACTTGGATTTTCAGGTGTTTGGGCTTTGACTGAAAGCAAAACACTATTCAAAGCAAGCGCCAGCAGAAACACCCTTGCGGATTAAGCAATAAGAGTCCTTATCTTTCTGTCGGGCATCAAACCCTGATGGACTGAGTGACAGGCGAGGATACTCACCACTATACTAACAAGGATGACAACAGCAGACTTTGGCACAAAGACAATGTGATATTTTCTGATATTTAGTATATTAACACATTATATTATTATTTGCTGTATGCCAAGCAAACTTCTACTATAAAAAAAAGAGATATTAATATGCCCTGCTCTGTGGGTGAATGTTTTCTCTAACAGTTTAGAACTCAGTGGGAGCCTTAGGCCTCTGCAGAGGGAGAGAGGATTGGTTCTCTTCCAGTGTTGCCAGAAAAAGCTGGCAGTTTGCTACTAGAGAAATTAGCAGTACTGGGAAGATTATCAGTCCAGGAAAGAAAGGAAACGTTTGAAGTATCAAATCAGTTCCACAATGGCAAAGTCAAATTATCCTCAAAGAGAAATAACCTATTTCATAACTATAGGAGAAAGAGAAGTCAGGCCTAGAAACCAGAATCCAGAGGGCCTGCTAAGAAGGGACTTCTCAGAAGGAAAAAGATTGGCTGGCTGAGGGTCTGTGTTCTGGCACGTCCAGGATCTGCCTCATTTGGGCTCCTCCAAAACATTCTCACAGCCTTCAGCAGCCTTAAAGTACTAATCAGTGTTCTGGGGCTATCACTTAGCCATAGAGCAGTTGTCTAGCATGCATACAGCCCTGGGTTTGACCCTCAGCACCACACAAATATGCACACAATTCTAGCCACTTAACCTCAAAAGCTGCAGATATAACCCTGATACAGGCCATGTGTACTCATGGCCTCACACAGTCATATTTTTAATCAAGTCATTTCACCTATTTGAGCCACAGGTTCTTTGGTTTTAAAATGAGGAGAGTAGACAACTTTATTTTTAGGTTTAAAAGTTTTCTGATTTCAAACTTTAAGAAATTTATTCATTCCACAGAAATTTATTGAATGCTGTATCATGTGGCACTGAACGAGACACTGAGTATATAGCAAATGAACAGACAAAGATCTCTCCTAGAATTCATATTCAAATGGTGGGAGGAGGCATGTCAAACAATAAACAAGTAAACATGTAGTGCATCAGTTGGTGACAAGTATAATGTAAAAAATGAAGTAGGTAAGGAGAATTAGGAGTATGATGAGTAGAATTATACTGAATGATCAAGGAGAACCCTCTGATCAGGGCACACTTAGTAAAGACCTAAACAGTATTGTCTTGGTCTGATTTCTGTTACTAAAACAAAACATCTGATCCAGGGTAATTTGTAAAGAAAAGAGGTTTCTTTAGCTCACAGCTCTAGAGGCTAGGCCAAGATCACATGCCACAACTGCTTGGTGTGTTCCATGCTCAACAGAAAAATGCAAGGGCAAATAGGACATTGGGAAGAGAGAATATAGCCAAATTGTGATCATGGCTAACCTATTGCCTCGAGAAAAGCATTAATCCATGTAAGAGCTAACCTCTCAATACTCAAACACCTCCCCTGTGTCTCATCTCCCATGCTGCTGCACTAAGCACCAAGTTTAAAAATGAGCTCAAATTGGGAATGGTGGTAGGCACCTGTAATCCCAGTACTTGGAAGGCTGAGGCAGGAGGATCACTGTGAGTTGAGACCAACCTGAGCTACAAAGTGAGCTCAAGGCCAGCCTAAACTGCCTAATGAGACCCTGACTCCAAAGCTCAAACCAAAGCAGACATGATGGAGCGTGACACATGTATCTGGAGGAAGAACATTCTTTTGTGGGTTCCATGGTATAATGTCAAGCACTCTGGACTGTGAATCCAGAAATAACATTCTTTAAATAGGAAATAGCAAAAGTTGTGCTGAAGTATAATTCATGTGTTTTTAAAAAGACAAGAATAACCAAGAGTTAAGCATGACAGAAGAGAAGGAAAAGAGGTTAGAGAGACAATGAAGAGCAGATAATATAGCATGTTGCAAAACACTGCAAAGGCTTTAGTTTTTACTCTTTGAGAGGAAGCTACTTAATGGCTTGAGCAAAGAAGTGACAAAAAAGGGTGATTCCTTAGCTAAGACTGCTTTCAAGGAGTGGCTACAGGAGAAATAAAAGTGTGGCCTAAGAAATATGGCTGTCATTGATGTTATGCAATAGGATGAGAAGTCATTTGTCCCCAGTGTCCTTGTGCCATCTGACTTCATTCCCACAGTCTGTCATTAATCTTTGAAGGTCTCTCTGTGCAAGGAAATACAGTCCTGTGTCCACTGCAAACAGCAGTCCCATCACCAGACAGAAAATGACTTGGAACCAAAGTGGGTTGGATGGAATTTCCGGGCCTAATAGGAGAGGCAAAAAAATAAAGAAAATGACAATCACCATAGTAGAAATGTGAGGGCCAGGGATATAGCTCAGCAGCACAGTGCCTGGCTGACAAGCATGAGGTTCTGAACTCAATCAACACCTAGTACAAAAAAAAAAAAGAAAGAAAGAAAGAAACAAAGTAGATGTGTAATAAGCAGTGAGGTCTCCAGTAGAGAACCTTTGTGACTTCACCTAAGCCAGGGGCTTAAGGCAAAGTCAAGAGCAGATAAGTAGGTCAGAAGCTTTCTAAGGACATCTTTGTCTTTCTGCACTCCCCAAAAAGCACCAAATCAGCATGTCTTAAAGGGAAACTATGCCACATCTGTCTGAAGTTAGAAAGGACAAAGATATGGTCACCTTGATTTGGTAATTGCCATAGGGAACACAGTTTAAGTTTTCTGCTGGGTGTGGTGGTGCAGGCCTGTAATCCCAGTGCTCTGGGAAGTCTTAGCCTCACCTTGGAAACTTAGTGACTGACTGAGACCTTGACTCAAAGCAAAAGAATAAGGGGCAGGAGAGAAATGTATCTCAGTGTAGAGATACTTGGTTCAATCCACAAAACCACACACACACACACACACACACACACACACACACACACACACAAAGTTTTCTTTGCAACAGACTTCTTAAGCCTTTAACATGTGTTATGAATATAAAAGAGGAACAGAGTATATAGCATGATCCACATTGATTTGAACACAGAACTACTCATTTCAAAAAACCCCTCAGGAGTTACAAGACTGGGGAATTACAGGATCCACAGAACTCATCAGTGGATCTTTACTCACTACCTTCTCTCAGCCGAGGACTCTCTGTCACCAGTCTGTCATAAATAGTGTGCAATGCCTCCTGAAAAGGCATCACAAAGATTGCTTAATGCAAAATTTCTCAATAATAGACACAGGCCTAGTTCTTTGTGGGAGAAGAGGTATTTCCCAAGCTCAGACAGCTGTCCTGGGTGACAGTTTGAGCTTAGGCTGAGAGGTCACTATGCAGGCTTAGGTCTGAGAATCCTATACATAGAGGGACATGAAACAAAATAAGAGTGGTTGAAATGAAGTGGAAAAGAAAGAAGGTGATTATCTCTGGCAGATGCATTTGTGGGAAAGAAAAGATGCCTTTTGTTAAAACTGAGTGAATGGCATCCATTCCCATAATCCCTGAGGGTCACACTGGTATAGAGCAGCATATCCATACAGCAGCGAGGTCAACTAGAACTTAGAGAGCTGCATGGACATCAAGAGGACCACTCAGGAGAATGCCAAGTACTAAAACCTTCAGTAATCCCCTCTCTCACCAGCCTTCCAAGGCCTAAACCCCCTTCAACAGCCCTGGTTCCTACCTCGGACAGTGATGGTCACAGGCGGTGATGTGTGAGATGTCCTTCCTATTAATCCCGTGCAGTTGTAAGCACCACTGTGACTATGGTTTGCTTGTGGGATGGAGAAATTTTTACTGACAGAGAAATATTTCTTGGCTACTCCATTGTGGTAGAATGTGACCTTGGCCAAAGGCCAGTTATTCCAGCTGTGGCACCGCATCACGATGACGTCCCCCTCCTGGAAAATCAGTTGAGAAGTCTGGAGCACCAGCCAGTCTGAAAGACACAAGAGCCACAAGATCCAGGAGGCCTTGACTCAACTCTGAGACTATCCTATCTAGTGGAACACAATATGCAGGGGGTAGGATCTAAGTTTGGAATCAGATACTCTTGATTTCTAATTCTGGCTCCATGCATCTATGAGCTCTATATTCTACCTTACTAAAATGAAAGTTCACTTATAAGAATCATATCCTGGATATGAGAGGTATGATAGCGTTATTGAGACAGCTTGAAAGAGAAGTCTAAAGACAGGATTCTTATTTTGGCTTCTGTCATTAGCTAATGTGTGTCCTTGGGTTAAATTCCTTATTCTCTTTTCAAATAGAACTGTGGGGTTAGGTAGTATCTCTCCAGTAAATCTGTTTTTAGGGTGGTGTGGTTTGGTTTGGTTTGGTTTGGTTTAGTTTTGAGGCAGGATCTCCTGCAGTCCATACTTCCCTTGAACTCACTTAGATAGCCAAGGCTGGCCTTGAACTCAAGGTCATTCTCCTGCCTCAGCCCCTCAAGTGCTGGGATTGCAGGTGTAGGCCACCACACCTGACTCTAGCAACTCTTCTGACCTAAATATAATTTTACATTTTAACAGCAAAATTCAGAAGTCCCATCTCTTTCTCAAGATGAAAGGGTACAAAGGGCAGAGGTGAGTGGCTGTAATGTCACTGAGCAAGGTTTTTAGTTTAACCTAATATTTATTTGCTTATTTATTTATTTTGCAATGCTGGAATCAAATCTGAGGCCTTATGCATTCTGGTCAATACTGTACTGCTGAATATTCATGAGAACACAATCAACAAAAAGTGACTCTACTACAAGCATCTCTCTGGTAGAGGAGACCTTAAGGGCCATTTTTAAAAAACTGCCTTCTTTATATTAAACAGGAAAGACTGTAACATTGGATGCTTACATGTAGCACCTATGGAGTTTATACACTGAGATCCAGCTGAAATCAACTACTCATATTTTCAGACACTGGGGTCGGGGTAGAGATAGTCTAAGAGTAGTTTCCTCACAGAATCTATTAAACTGAACACTACCTCATATTTATATAAAACCAAATTAGATGTGTATTCCTTTCAATATAACCATCTCATGACATAGAGGATGGAATACTATTTCAGCTATTAAAAGAATAAAATCCTGTCATTTGCAACAACATGGATGCAACTGGAGATCATTATGTTAATTGAAATGAAACAATACCTTGGGGGAAAGACAAGTATTACATAATGTCAATGTTTTCTTAAAAGTTGACTTTGCCAGATATAACAGTATTCACCAGTAATCGCAGAACTGGGGAGGCTGAGGCAGGAGTATCACTTCAAGTTCAAGGCTAGCCTGGGCTAACAGTGAGAACATGTCTCAAATAAACCTAAATAAATAAATAAATATAAAAGTTTGATTTCATAGAAATTGAAGGTAGAATGGTGCTTACCAACAAGTAGTCAGAGGAGTGGGGAAAAAGGAATGGGGAGAAGTTGGTCAATGGGTACTGAGTTATACTTAGCCAGAAGCAAGATGTTCTGATGGCCAGTGGCACAGCAGAATCCCTATAATGAACCATACATCCCAAAAGGCTAGAAAAAAGGACTTGAAATATTTTCCTTGTTAAAAAAAATGACAAAGTGTTTGAGGAGATAAATTACATTTAACCTGATTGAAACATTACACAAGGCACACATGTATCAAGCCAATGCAGTGTACCACAATATACACAATGCTTATGTAGCAGCTGAAAAATTTAATTTGTACAATAAGCGCCTGCCTTGCAAGCAGGTAGTTGTGAGTTCGATCCCTGGTACCGATGAAAAGGAAAAAGACAAAAAAAAAAAATGTCATAAATTTTCCTGTCATTCAGGAATAAAAGTCCAAGTCATGGCAACAGCTTATCAGCCTCTACACCTTTAGCCAGATTAGAATCCTCCCCTGGGGGACCTGGCCTCCTGTACCCCTGCCAGAAAGACCTGCTGGGTCATTACATTTGACAAGGAGGCTCCTGCTGTGGGCCTCTGCAGACCTCTGCAGGCCTCTGCTTCCAACTTCTGTGCTTCACCTCAGGAGAGGAGGGTGCTTTTATGAAGCAGGGACCTTCTTCTGCTTCTCTCACACGCAGCTGTCTGCGGCCTTGTGGCACTCTTGTGCAATCAAGACAGAGGCAAACAACCTAATATATGCTTAGGAACTTCTAAGCAAAGAAGCAGGTGAAGTGGGAAATGAGCCCGGTATAGTGAAGCACGTAGGTACTGCCAGCACTCTGGGAAACTGAGGCAGGAGTGCAAACTAGAGCCTAATCTGGGCAATTTAGTAATTTACTGAGAATCTGTCTCAAAATAATAACAAAAGTGGCTCGGAATGTAGTTCACCGCAAAACTGTTTCAATCCTCAGTACTGGGGAAAAAGAAAAGAAAGAGTGAGAAAGAAAAGGAAAGGAAGAGAAAGGGGGAGGGAGTGGAAAAAGAAAAGGAAGAAAAAGAAAATGCGTGGGCAGAACTACATCTAGCAAGTCACCCTGGTGCTTCCCAGAAATCAGGCCTCCTTTCCTCCCATCCTCTGCAGTATCAGCAGACTCCCCTCTCCTGGGCCTCCCAGCCCCTCTAGCCCTACTGACCAGAAATCACGTCCAGACGCATAGGGTCGCTGAGACTGGTCCCGCCCGCCTGGCACCTGTACTCTCCGCTGTCATTGCCCTTGGCAGTGAACCGGTAGCTGGGCAGGACCTGGGTGGGGATGAGTCTCCCGTTGTGGAGCCACTGGGTGGAGTGGTTCCCAGGGCTGGGGGCACCCTCGCAGGTCAGAGTCACGCGGTCTCCCCGGAGCACCTGGATCCACGGGGGCTCGCGTCTCACCACAGCCTTCGGGAGGTCTGCTGAGAGGCAGAGAGCAGAAAGAAAGGAGAATAATTAACCTCAGAGGGGTCATGGATTTCACAGGAGCACTTGAGGGAGGCGTACTGTGGGTCTAGTGAAAGATGTGTGTGCAGACATGTAGGGGCCTCACTCTTTGTTTTCCGTGAATGCAGAAGAACTCTTACTAAGAACCAAATCCCAGGCCCTACTGAAATAGGAACATTGCCCCTGCAGCAGACCCGAAGCCTGATTTTTGGTGGCAGATCTTACCTTACAAAGTAAGTACAGTATCTTATTGTGAGCAAATAACACCAACAAAACCAGATACCAAAGAGCAAACTCACCAGCTTGCCTTTCTGCAGAAGCTGTAAAACATAAATGGGTGGATTAATACAGAGCAACTGAAGAAGATAATACAGTTAAATTGGCCCTAGTCACACATGCCTATAATTCCAGCACTCTGGGAGGCTGAGGCAAGAGGACTCCAAGTTGGAGCCCAGCCTGGGCAATTTAGCAAGACCCTGTCTGACAATAAATTTCTTGTGTAGAAGGAAAGAGGAAGGTTATAGAGAGGTGATTTAAGCTCCTTCTTTTTTCACCGCCCATTCTAAGAGCAGGGTATGGTGGTATATGCCTGTTACCTCACAACTCTAGAAACTGAGGCAGGAGGAACACTGAGAGTTCAAGGCCAGAGTGAACTATTTAGTGAGACTCTGTCTCAAAAAAAAAAGTCTATTTGCAGTTACTCTCCTCTAAGAGTACCATTTTTCCCCCTTATCCTCATCTCATTTCTGTCCCATAACTACAAAGTAGTCTGAACTACAGACAGCTTCTCGGGGATTATGAAAATATCTCCAAAATCTGACTTTAGGAACCATGGAAGCTGCTAAGAATTCAGGGTTCTCTCTTTCCTTTGTTTGTCTGTGGCTTCTAGGACCCACACCTGCTCCTTGTAACACTGTCCCTGGAGTCCCCGCAGAAGCAGTGGCTGAAATTTTCCTCTTCCAGAATAATCCCCACTCACCCAACAGCAGCAAAATTGTCAGTGGTTGAAACAGCCATTGGCGGCGAGGATATACGTTCTTGAACATTGTGTCTTCAAAGTCATCCCAGATCAGAGCCACAGTCCAGTGAGGGTTAGGAGATGAACTTAAAAAAAGAGGAAGGAAACTGTTTCGTCTTCTTGTACACATGTCATGAGTCACCGGAGTCTCTTTCTGCTTATAAGCAATTAACAAGCCAAGAAGTGAAGTCTGCTTTATGGTAAGTCCCTCTGTCATGTATTCTCTTGTTGTTTCCTTGTGGAAGCTCTGAGTTACTGCTTCTTGGTGAGGAAACTGATGCAGGGGAACACCAGGAAGGAGAACTGGGGCTGAAGTCCTGGTTCTGGGTCCCAGTTCAGTGTTGCTCCCACTCCACTTCCTGTTCTGCCTCATTAGCCAGTACAGAAAGTTCCACAGAAGCTTTGACTCAGACAAATCTAACTTTGCAACAGTGTTAATCCATCAAAGTAGGATAATCATCTTCAGAAAACATTCAACCCACGAAGGTCTCTAAATATATCACAAGTGAGACCTACTCTTCTTGCCCCTGCCCTCCACATACACAACTCTTTGAATGCAAGATACAAATTTGGTGAGAAATCCATAAAACAACTTCAAATGCTATTAAAAGAAGGAAAATCTAGGGCCAGGAGTCTGTAGATGAGCAAATAAAATAAGAGTCTTCTTAGAACTTCTAGCTAATCCAAATTACAGTTAAGAACAAACTACAAACTTTACCAGAGATAGGGGGCTGGGGATTTAGCTCAGCGGCATAAGCGCCTGCCTTGCAAGCAGGCATGTGAGTTCGATTCCTGGTACCGATAAAAATGAAAAAGCCAAAAAAAAAAAAAAAAAAAAAAAACTTTACCAGAGAGGTTTCCCTGGGAACCAAATCAAAGGCAGGGACAAAATAAAAAACGAAAGAAAAAAACAAAAGAAACAGATATAGAAAGGCATCAAAGAACTTGCACCACAAGACCAAAAAGAGAGCTGACAGGCAAGAGGCAAAGAGAAAGCCAGGTGCACAAACAATACGTCAATCTCCAAAACAATAAAGGGGAAGTTGAATGGGGGGGACTAAAAGGCGGTCTGTACTCACATCTATGCACTAACATGTACACTTACGTGCGTGTTCACTCTACAGTCACTGTATTATTCACTCTAGGGGTATTAGAGACTACAGTAGACATGTCCCCTTACTAACTCTAAGCTCACCATGAATAAGGCACCCTGCTCAATGCCAGAATCCATCACCTGGCCCAGCTCTCATCTTAAACCTATCATCATCAGTCTTCTCAAACAGTCTCCTCACAGCTGTCAAGTCTCCCTTCCACACCCCTATTCTTGCCATCAGAAAATCCAATCAACCATATTGTCGGATCCAAGTTTCCAATCCATCAACCAAATCATAATCCCCATCTTCTCATGTCCACAACCCCACACCCTCCTGTTCTCCATCCCTCCCTCCACCACACACTACAGTGCCCTGGACCTAAAAGACACCTTCTTCACCATACCCCTACACCCCAAATTATAGTTGCTCTTTGCCTCCATATGGACTGATCCAGACACCCACCAATCACAATAGCTCACCTGGATGGTCCTTTCTCAATGGTTCAAAGATAGCCCTCACTATTTTACCAGGCCCTCACGAACAATCTCCTTTCTTTTTGCCCCACCCTTCCCACCTCCTCCAGTATGCTGATGACCTATTTCTCTGCAGCCACTCCACCTTATCCTGACATCAAGATATTCTCACATTTCTCCAACATTTACACAGTAAGGAACACTGAGACTCCCCTTCCAAGGTCCAAATTTGCAAGGCCTCTAGGCATCCTCCTACATAAAAATACCCATGCCCCCATCACCCTGTGTTCTCCCCAAGATTTTCAAGTCCTTTGTACTTCTCATCTTCCCCACCTACTCTGAGTTCCACTGCCCCTCCAACTCTATGCTCTCTTTCTCAAAACTCTCACCATAACCCTGGCTCCCAGCCCCAGTTTTAATCTGGCAACTCCTCCGATTCTGCTAATAGAGATGAAAGGCATGTGCCCACTCCTCTCAGGAACATGGCTGCCTTCCTCTCATACAGTTACACACCAGCCTCATCCCCCACCTCTCAGACTTTCCTGTACAGAACCCACACACACTTGGTTCATAAATGGAAAGTCTTGCAAAGCCTCAAACACTTCTGTGGAAAGAGCAGGAAATGCAACAGTTACAATCAACACCATAATTGAGGCCCAGGATCTCCTCACAAACATTCCCTCACAACAGGCCAAACTCAAAGCCCTAACTAGAGCTCACAAAGGGAACCACAATTAATATCTACACAGACTCAATATATGCCCTCCACATCCTTCACAGTCATGAAACAATATGGGCAGAAAGAGGCTGCCTTACCACCAGGGTATCTTCCATCATCAATTCAAACCTAATAAAGACTCTCCTAAAGGCAGCTCTCCTACCCACCCAAGCAGCAGTAACCCACTTCCAAGGAACACCAAAAGTCTATAGACCTCAATCCTCAGGAAACGGCAGAAAAGAACCCAGAAAAATTACAACTGCCCTCCCATGACTGTGTCTTTTCACCAAGCCTCCAGAACTCATCTGATTGAATATTCCTAGATACAAAGAGATTCCTCTTATACTGGGAAAAGAAAATCAAAAAGCGCCATCCAAAGGCCCACCCAGGGAATTTCCCCTACACCCCACCCCACAGGAGCAACTTCAGCTCACCATTGGCATCTGGCAGAAATCCCTGAAGAGCAGAATCCCTGACAACTTCTGGAAATACATAACGATTTCTGTTTAAACATCATTCCTGGTTCTTTGGAACCTCTGCTTATCTCTGCCTCCTGGCTAACTAGACTGGAATCTGTACTCTGGTCTTCCTTACCCCAAGAATAGATATAGACCCCAGACAAACCCAATTCCAGGCTCCCAAACAAACCTCCCCATTCAGGTGATGATGCAACCCTATGGTCATACCTTGGCTGAATAGGCCTTGGGCTCTCTGCCAGCATAGGATTGGAAATGGCAAGAATAGTGATCTCCTCCAAAGTCCACCAACAGCTCTCAGGTAAACCATCAAGTGGGCTCAGAAAGATAACCGATTCCATCCCAGCCCTACAAAGGGAAATGGCCTCCCCAGCCAGAGTGGCTCTTCAAAACTGCTGAGCCATAAAGAAATAGGAGATACTATGTCTTCCTAGTAGAAAAATACTGCTCCTACATCAACAGGTCAGGCTTCTTCATCCATCAGACAGTACAAAGTCTCCAAAACCAAGCTCCCAGGCTCAAAAAACAGGCAAAGGGTGACTATTCCATGACTATTTCCATTAAATGGAAAGGAAGTTTCTTCCAGACCAGCTGGATATCCTAGCTTCTCTTGGTTCCAGGCGCCTGGTTCCAGTCTTTCTGCTGTTATTATTTGGGCCCTGCATATTAAGATTTTTAATAATTTCATCCAAGGAGATGTCTGATTCATGACAGCCAGACAGTTTCTCCTGATGGCCTGCTACACTGCGATCCCATGAGAACCCCATGATGATCCATCATGATACTATCACACCACACTGACCCATGATGAGCACACCATGTCACGATGCTGCCACGAACCCTGCCCTTCTCCCTGTCCATTTCTCCTTTTCTAGGATGCCCAGACGAGATTGAAGAAGCCCTGAGAAACTGCAGGCCTTACCTCTCTTCTCTTTCTATAACACAACAGGAAGTCAGGTCTCCAAACTAGATCCTTACCCAGCAAGGAAAGAAAAAAATCCCCAAGCAGATCTGTTATTCATACCTGGAGGAGTGCAGTGTTCAGCAGGAAGCCAGCAGCTTCCGCATGCAGCTCAACCTGCAGAAAGCTGATTCCTCAAAAAACCACAAGAGACACGCTGTTCCTGCCAGTGGCTCCCATATCCAACCCCACCCTATCACCTCACCCTAGACTCCCTACTCAGGGACCCAAAATTTTGTACCCCCCACAGCAATACCCCTCTCCCCTACCTAAACTCCCCTCTAAAACATATCCTCATCCCTGCTTTGCTCAGACCAATAGTCTTTAACTTGCCTGCCTCAATGGTCTCAATTGTGCCTCAATTTACACTAACAATTACTAGAAAAATTTATTTTTCTTTTGGACAGTCCTGGGGTACTTGGCAATATCTATATTATCAGGTTTACCAAAGAGCTATTTCTTCCTTTTCAAGCCCTTCCTGTGACAATGCTTGTCTGTTCCCCAGCGTGTGGCCAAAATGAAAAGTCAACCTATAATTAGCAAAACAACAACTGGGTTTTAAACTTGTGCCCTCCTCCCAAGCATTGGGGATTAGTCCTTGTAGCTGCTAGGTGCTTGCTGTACATCCCCAGCTATTTTTTAGTATTTTGAGACAGGGTCTTATCAAGCTGACCTCACTGAGTTTAAACTTGGGTTCCTCCTGCCACAACCTTCTCAGCAGCTGGGATTACAGGCATACACCACCATATTTAGCTTAAAATTATTTTTTTTTCTTTTTTCTTCCTATGACTGGGACCAAACCCAGGGCCTAGAGCAGGCTAAGAAAGTGCTCTATCATTGTACTACATTCATAGACCTCACTCCTCTTGGTAATTTATTTGGATGAATTCTCTGAGTTTGACACTTGACATGCACTCCTGAGCATGATTCTTAGTTTTTCTTTTAAATCCATAAATCCAGTCTTAGATTATTTTTATGTTCCTGGGGCTGTTTCCAAGTTCCTGGCCTCAGATGATTATCCTGACTCAGTCTCCCAAATGCTGAGACTATAGACACAGACCACTATACTTAGCTGCCACAGACTTTGTTTTGTTTTGTTTTTTCCAGTATAAAGTATTGAACCCAGGACCTTCACACTGAACTGCATTTCCAACCTTTATTTTTTATTTAAGGTCAGGTCTCACTAGGTCACTAAATTGCCCAAGATGGAACTGAACTTTAATCCTCATGCCTCAGCCTCCCAGAGTACTGGAATTGTTAGATATGCACCGTATGCTTAGCTAGTCAAAGACATTTTGTTGTTACCAACTTAACACCAATTCATACATCCTGATTTGTAGGGCCATTATGTATTGGACTGGCTTGTTTTATTTTGCTACTAGGAGAGAGAACAATTTCAGGGTTGGAGGTATCAGGAATCAAACTCAAGACCTCAAGCTTGCCAGGTAGGCACTGTACCACTGAGTTAATCCCAGTCTCAGGAGAACTAAATAAATGCTATCTATTCAAAAATCAGCATTCTATGAGAA